TATTTGTTCTTTGCACTGTAAATTTTCATACCTTTTCTCACTCGACATGAGCTCTTAGTTTTCCTTTGACATCTTTTTATTTTGTTTTGGTAACAGCAGATGGTTAAGGGTGACTTGGATCCCGTAGTGAGGAGAAGTCATCGTCTACAAATCACCTGCAGCCGTCATTGGAAGATGCGGTAAGATTCGGGCTTTACTTCCTGCACATTTTTCTGATGTTTACTTGTTGACAATTGATGCTTATTTGCCATTTTGCCTTCTAATTAACAGGATGCAGAGCAGCGGCACCCAAATGCAAGGCGCAGAAGAAGGAGCCATTTCAGCAGACATGGAGCCTGATAGAGAAGTTTTTTTTAAAATTTATTTTACCCCCTCCCTACTCTAACATTACTAATCATTGCCCTCTCAACCCACTCTTATACTCTTACCTAACTGTCCCCATTTGCTAACTTCCTTGTCATCTCGTTTTATTGTAATGATGATGTTTTACATGAATTTTTGTGATTTGTGAAATTGTTTTGAATCATTACTAATTTTCTGTCAGTCTTATATTTTCAGGGACGATGGACGACACGGGAAGTCTGAGGTCGGCCAACAGAAGAAGAGGAGACCATTTCGCAGCTATGAGCAGTAGCCAACATTGGCCAAAGGGTTAAGTAACAAACTGTATTTGCTGCACTTTGGAATCCCTGTGTTTAAATCTAACTTGATCAAAGCGGGTGGGGTACTCCTTTTAACCTCGTGACTTTCTGTATTAACAGGAGGGCTGTTAGGCAAGCCTGGATCCCACTGTGGGCTACAACTTAATCGTGTGTCAGCAGAGGTGTGGAGAGCAGGGATCGACAGCATCCATCCATAGAAGAAACGGTAGGGTTCGTGTTTAATACCTGTACTGTCTGAATTTCTTTGCCTCGTTTTCTCTTGATAAAGACTGTCACCTCTTTTGATTTTTGTCTTTTTTCTTAAAGAGGATGATGAGACAGTCATGCGGAAGAAGAATTCACAATGGAGGGATCAACTGCGGCCAACCAAAGAAGTGTTGGTAAGATTCAACGTCTATTTGTTCTTTGCACTGTAAATTTTCATACCTTTTCTCACTCGACATGAGCTCTTAGTTTTCCTTTGACATCTTTTTATTTTGTTTTGGTAACAGCAGATGGTTAAGGGTGACTTGGATCCCGTAGTGAGGAGAAGTCATCGTCTACAAATCACCTGCAGCCGTCATTGGAAGATGCGGTAAGATTCGGGCTTTACTTCCTGCACATTTTTCTGATGTTTACTTGTTGACAATTGATGCTTATTTGCCATTTTGCCTTCTAATTAACAGGATGCAGAGCAGCGGCACCCAAATGCAAGGCGCAGAAGAAGGAGCCATTTCAGCAGACATGGAGCCTGATAGAGAAGTTTTTTTTTTTAAATTTATTTTACCCCCTCCCTACTCTAACATTACTAATCATTGCCCTCTCAACCCACTCTTATACTCTTACCTAGCTGTCCCCATTTGCTAACTTCCTTGTCATCTCGTTTTATTGTAATGATGATGTTTTACATGAATTTTTGTGATTTGTGAAATTGTTTTGAATCATTACTAATTTTCTGTCAGTCTTATATTTTCAGGGACGAGGGACGACACGGGAAGTCTGAGGTCGGCCAACAGAAGAAGAGGAGACCATTTCGCAGCTATGAGCAGTAGCCAACATTGGCCAAAGGGTTAAGTAACAAACTGTAATTGCTGCACTTTGGAATCCGTGTTTAAATCTAACTTGATCAAAGCGGGTGGGGTACTCCTTTTAACCTCGTGACTTTCTGTATTAACAGGAGGGCTGTTAGGCAAGCCTGGATCCCACTGTGGGCTACAACTTAATCGTGTGTCAGCAGAGGTGTGGAGAGCAGGAATCGACAGCATCCATCCATAGAAGAAACGGTAGGGTTCGTGTTTAATACCTGTACTGTCTGAATTTCTTTGCCTCGTTTTCTCTTGATGAAGACTGTCACCTCTTTTGATTTTTGTCTTTTTTCTTAAAGAGGATGATGAGACAGTCATGCGGAAGAAGAATTCACAATGGAGAGATAAACTGCGGCCAACCAAAGAAGTGTTGGTAAGATTCAACGTCTATTTGTTCTTTGCACTGTAAATTTTCATACCTTTTCTCACTCGACATGAGCTCTTAGTTTTCCTTTGACATCTTTTTATTTTGTTTTGGTAACAGCAGATGGTTAAGGGTGACTTGGATCCCGTAGTGAGGAGAAGTCATCGTCTACAAGTCACCTGCAGCCGTCATTGGAAGATGCGGTAAGATTCGGGCTTTACTTCCTGCACATTTTTCTGATGTTTACTTGTTGACAATTGATGCTTATTTGCCATTTTGCCTTCTAATTAACAGGATGCAGAGCAGCGGCACCCAAATGCAAGGCGCAGAAGAAGGAGCCATTTCAGCAGACATGGAGCCTGATAGAGAAGGTTTTTTTTTAAAATTTATTTTACCCCCTCCCTACTCTAACATTACTAATCATTGCCCTCTCAACCCACTCTTATACTCTTACCTAACTGTCCCCATTTGCTAACTTCCTTGTCATCTCGTTTTATTGTAATGATGATGTTTTACATGAATTTTTGTGATTTGTGAAATTGTTTTGAATCATTACTAATTTTCTGTCAGTCTTATATTTTCAGGGACGAGGGACGACACGGGAAGTCTGAGGTCGGCCAACAGAAGAAGAGGAGACCATTTCGCAGCTATGAGCAGTAGCCAACATTGGCCAAAGGGTTAAGTAACAAACTGTAATTGCTGCACTTTGGAATCCCTGTGTTTAAATCTAACTTGATCAAAGCGGGTGGGGTACTCCTTTCAACCTCGTGACTTTCTGTATTAACAGGAGGGCTGTTAGGCAAGCCTGGATCCCACTGTGGGCTACAACTTAATCGTGTGTCAGCAGAGGTGTGGAGAGCAGGGATCGACAGCATCCATCCATAGAAGAAACGGTAGGGTTCGTGTTTAATACCTGTACTGTCTGAATTTCTTTGCCTCGTTTTCTCTTGATGAAGACTGTCACCTCTTTTGATTTTTGTCTTTTTTCTTAAAGAGGATGATGAGACAGTCATGCGGAAGAAGAATTCACAATGGAGGGATCAACTGCGGCCAACCAAAGAAGTGTTGGTAAGATTCAACGTCTATTTGTTCTTTGCACTGTAAATTTTCATACCTTTTCTCACTCGACATGAGCTCTTAGTTTTCCTTTGACATCTTTTTATTTTGTTTTGGTAACAGCAGATGGTTAAGGGTGACTTGGATCCCGTAGTGAGGAGAAGTCATCGTCTACAAGTCACCTGCAGCCGTCATTGGAAGATGCGGTAAGATTCGGGCTTTACTTCCTGCACATTTTTCTGATGTTTACTTGTTGACAATTGATGCTTATTTGCCATTTTGCCTTCTAATTAACAGGATGCAGAGCAGCGGCACCCAAATGCAAGGCGCAGAAGAAGGAGCCATTTCAGCAGACATGGAGCCTGATAGAGAAGTTTTTTTTTTTTAAATTTATTTTACCCCCTCCCTACTCTAACATTACTAATCATTGCCCTCTCAACCCACTCTTATACTCTTACCTAACTGTCCCCATTTGCTAACTTCCTTGTCATCTCGTTTTATTGTAATGATGATGTTTTACATGAATTTTTGTGATTTGTGAAATTGTTTTGAATCATTACTAATTTTCTGTCAGTCTTATATTTTCAGGGACGAGGGACGACACGGGAAGTCTGAGGTCGGCCAACAGAAGAAGAGGAGACCATTTCGCAGCTATGAGCAGTAGCCAACATTGGCCAAAGGGTTAAGTAACAAACTGTAATTGCTGCACTTTGGAATCCGTGTTTAAATCTAACTTGATCAAAGCGGGTGGGGTACTCCTTTTAACCTCGTGACTTTCTGTATTGACAGGAGGGCTGTTAGGCAAGCCTGGATCCCACTGTGGGCTACAACTTAATCGTGTGTCAGCAGAGGTGTGGAGAGCAGGGATCGACAGCATCCATCCATAGAAGAAACGGTAGGGTTCGTGTTTAATACCTGTACTGTCTGAATTTCTTTGCCTCGTTTTCTCTTGATGAAGACTGTCACCTCTTTTGATTTTTGTCTTTTTTCTTAAAGAGGATGATGAGACAGTCATGCGGAAGAAGAATTCACAATGGAGGGATCAACTGCAGCCAACCAAAGAAGTGTTGGTAAGATTCAACGTCTATTTGTTCTTTGCACTGTAAATTTTCATACCTTTTCTCACTCGACATGAGCTCTTAGTTTTCCTTTGACATCTTTTTATTTTGTTTTGGTAACAGCAGATGGTTAAGGGTGACTTGGATCCCGTAGTGAGGAGAAGTCATCGTCTACAAGTCACCTGCAGCCGTCATTGGAAGATGCGGTAAGATTCGGGCTTTACTTCCTGCACATTTTTCTGATGTTTACTTGTTGACAATTGATGCTTATTTGCCATTTTGCCTTCTAATTAACAGGATGCAGAGCAGCGGCACCCAAATGCAAGGCGCAGAAGAAGGAGCCATTTCAGCAGACATGGAGCCTGATAGAGAAGTTTTTTTTTTTAAATTTATTTTACCCCCTCCCTACTCTAACATTACTAATCATTGCCCTCTCAACCCACTCTTATACTCTTACCTAACTGTCCCCATTTGCTAACTTCCTTGTCATCTCGTTTTATTGTAATGATGATGTTTTACATGAATTTTTGTGATTTGTGAAATTGTTTTGAATCATTACTAATTTTCTGTCAGTCTTATATTTTCAGGGACGAGGGACGACACGGGAAGTCTGAGGTCGGCCAACAGAAGAAGAGGAGACCATTTCGCAGCTATGAGCAGTAGCCAACATTGGCCAAAGGGTTAAGTAACAAACTGTAATTGCTGCACTTTGGAATCCCTGTGTTTAAATCTAACTTGATCAAAGCGGGTGGGGTACTCCTTTTAACCTCGTGACTTTCTGTATTAACAGGAGGGCTGTTAGGCAAGCCTGGATCCCACTGTGGGCTACAACTTAATCGTGTGTCAGCAGGGATCGACAGCATCCATCCGTGGTAGAAACGGAGAGAACACGGAAAGAGTATCACCAGCCAAAAGAGGAGGAGTAGTCCATTGCCAAGCTTTGAGCAATAGCCAACGTTGGCCAAAGGGGTAAGTAACAAACTGCATTTGTTCCGTGTGTTGAAATCAAAATTGATTAAAGCAGCTTGGGTATTCCTTTGACCTCCTGACTATCTGTGTTAACAGGAGGATGGTTAGGCAAGCCTTGATCCGACTGTGAGCTACAGCTCCATCATGTGTCATCAGAAGTTTGGAGAGTAGAGATCTACTGCATTCATCCATTGAGGAAAAGGTGAGTTTTTTGTGTAATTCCTAAATTTTCTGAATTTCTTAAGCTCGTTTTCACTTGATGAAGACTGTCATCTCTTTTGATCTTTCTTTCTTAAAGAAGATGAGACCATCCTGTGGAAGAAGAATTCACAATGAAGAGATAGACTGCAGGCCAGCCAACAAAGTGATGGTAATACTTATAGTATTCAATCCCTTTGTTCTTTGCACTGTGATTACTTCATTACTTTTTTTCACTTGACATTAGATATTAGTATTCCTTGAATATTGATTTTTTTTTTTCTGTTAACATTAGGTTGTTTAGTCTTACCTGGATCCTTTTGTGACATTGGCCAAAGGGGTGAGTGACAAAGTGCATTTTTTGCACTTTTGAATCCATGTGTTGAAATCTTTGTTGATCAAAGCACCTGGGGTACTCCTTTGACCTCCTGACTTTTTTGTGTTATCAGGTGGATGGTTACGCAATCCTGGATCCATTATGTGTCAACAGAAGTGTGGAGAACAGAGATCGATTTCAACCATACATGGATAAACGGTAAGGTACATGTGGTAATGCCTGTATTGTCTGAATTTCTTTGGCTCGTTTTCACTTCATGAAAATTTTTTTCATACTCAGTTATTCAAAATTAGTATATCTTGCTGTTGTTTTTGTCAGGGGCATTTAAAATAGTTCATCGATACTCTGATAGGAGAGATATATAGCTTTTGATGGGATAAATGTCTATTATTTCTTTATAAATTAGTGAAGTTGAGATGTCTTTCCCGGAGACCAATTTTTCCACGCAAACTCTGCTAAAATTGTTTGAATTTTACTTTTAAAATACATCTCTTTAGAAAACCATAATCGTTAAAGCAACAATTTATATGTAGTATACAGACCGATTATGAGTCTAAGTTCCTTTTTCAGGTCTAGGCGGCCTCTGTTTTTGGAGGATAGATTTTATCCTCTAAAAACAGAGGATAGCGGTCTTGCCACCTACCGGAATTTTCAAAACTAAGGGCAGTTAACTCTTAACAAAACAAATAACAGCAACTCTTGCATTTATGAACCATACGCTGACTTCAAAATCAATTTTAATCATTTATTACTTCTTTCATTTAATAATTCTTAAGCACATCACTTTGTAATATTTTATTTGTTTATGTATGCACATGGCTGTATGAATATATGTAAATTTCTTAGTAAATATGTTAAATTATTTATTATATTTACTTATGCTATTCAAATTATTTATTTATTTTTATAATTATTCATTCAATCCATTTATACTTTTATTTGCTTAAATTATAAGGCAGAGTATATTTTGCGTTTTAAATACGCTTAAAATGCGTTTCCTTTTGTGTTTCCTTTTTTTAAATTAAAAGAAAATATAAAAGAAATATTAAAGTCCTTTTTTATTTGTCTAAATAGGGAAAAATCATTAAAAAATAAAACAAAATAACAAGAAATATTCAGTATCAAAGGAGCGCAAAAAGTGCTAACTTTGAGAATAAATTGCAAAATATCTAGACCTAGAATCTCAAATCGCCACATACAATCGATAGTTAATGTTTGAACTTGTACTTGCATGTACTCTGGTGCTTGCACTTTTTGATTAAAGGTAGGCACGAGGTGTTTGAAAATTACCTGTGTTTTCCTCTGAAATCGGAGGATAAACTATTCCACAATGCAACTCGGTTTCCATATATGGTAAAAATTTTGGTCGCCATATTGAATTTAGCTATCCTCCAAAAACGGAGGCCGCCAAGACCTGTTTTTTTCTGAAAGTGTATTGCACTATTGCGTAACCACTTTTATCCTTTTTTGATTTTTTCATTTAATTGTTAATCTGAATTTTTTTTTTATATAGAACAGATCCAAAAAAAATTTCATCTGAGCTGTCTTACAATTGTGAAACAAAGAAAGTTCTGGAAAATTATACAATATATCAGAATAAATTGAAGTCATGGATCAATCAAAATAATTAGGAAAGGGGCATTTATCGCTGAAGGAGAAATAGGACTCTGTTGTGACCTTTTGTTAAGGATATGAGACCTTGTGTTTAGGAATTTGTGATATAATGTTAAAGTGTGAATCACCTGTGACCTTGTAATAAGAGTATGTGATCTTTTGTCAAATACTATTATCTGCGACCTTGTGAGAAGCATGCATCTGTGATTGTCACACAATGTCCTGCAATTTCCGACTTGTGGTCCTTCGATCCTTTTTTTTGTTGATGTTTTCGGGCGAAAAAAATATAACTTTTCATGTGCTATCATCAGCAATGCTAGCAAATTCTGTTGTTACACCAGCTAAAAATTGGACAGTTTATACTTCCAGTAAATGAACGCATATGAAGCATTTAATAACATTTTGCATCAAAGAAACTTTTTCGTTGTTTTGTGTCATTTTTATCTTATTTTTCCTGGGAAGTTTTTTGTAACATCGAATGGGATTTTACTATTATCTTTGATGATTAATTTTATATTGATATTATAGAAAGAATGCAATAAAATGGTATACGTGTATTTGTATTAGTAGTTATGTCTATTGTTTTAACACCAATATCATTCATGATCATTACAGATGTACTGACAACAAATGATATTTGCTTCTTAAAACTTATCTTAGCCATTATCAAATATTCTTTTCAGTGTAACATCCAGTAAACAATAACATGTACATCTTCACAATGTGACAGAAAATTAAAAAAACATAATTCTAAATAATTATGTTCTTTTTATTGCTGACATCTTAGCGGACATTGTAGTGAAATGGCAGTGGAACTTTATACTTATAAAATCTGATACCTGATGTAATTCTGTGAATCAAATAAATGATAGCATGTAAAACTTAGTTTTTTGTTTTTTTTTATACCTTTGCATTGCTATTTGAGAGAGTAATACAGTGAAATAATTTTGAAACTATGTATACTTATCAAATCTGATATTAAGTAATACAGTGATAATTCGCTATATGACATCAAATGAACAATAACATGTAAATCTGAGTTGCTTTTTTAATGCAGTCATCTCATTGAGTATTGTAGTGCAAATATATTGGAACTTTATGAAATTTAGTAGTTAGACCATTAAAAAGTGAAAAAATGGCCACATTGAAAGTAAAAAAATCCAAATCATTGTAAATTTTTAAATGAATTTGAAAATAAAGCAAAATGTTCAATTTGTGTTTGTTTGATTTTTTTTTAAAATTATATTTAAGAGACTGGCGAAGCCCCCGAAAGCTCTCGATCGGGTTTTAGTATTTTATGGAACAGTTTTTGACTTATTTAAGTTATATATACTTTACATATAATTAATGCAATATATAACCCTGATCATCTTTATAAAAAATTTGGTTTGCTCTCTCCCGGCCGACCGCTTCGGGAGAGGGCAAGCATAAGCAATTTTTTGAAGATGGCCCGGCACAACAACAACAACAAAATTAATGTATTAGTCTTATGTAATTTTTGGTCACAAGAGGAATGGGGGCTCTAAATCCTCCAGTTGCGAGTTAGTTACTGGATTTTCTCCAACTCGATTTCCTTGATTAATCTTTTTTAATTGTCAATAAACGCGAGGCTTGACGAGCGCAAAACAATTGATATTTCTTCTTATCTATACTGATTTAGTTTTAACATATTGTAATCTATACGTTTTGTGTTAGATGTAATTGTTAAAACATTTTAAAAGTATATCTAGTAACCATTTTGAGGGTAATTCGACTTGTATATTTTTAAAATAAAGTGGTAAATAGTATATAATTTATTAAATCAGTAATTAATGAAAATGACATTTAACATTTACAAAATCTTGAATATTTTTTAACAAGTCTTCCAATTTTTTCCCGGAATTTACGACGCCATGCATTCTATAATTTATTTACATTTGCTAACATCCGATTTGATTTGTATGTAAAATGTATATCTGCATGTGTTTACCAAAATGATTTTGTGGCTAATTGAGTTTTTACCCTACCTTTGGGTAGTGACAGTCCCAGTTTATGGTTCATTCTGTGGAATTGATCTTATTTTAAGAATATCTATTCTCTTGTTCATTTATGTCATTGCAGGAGAAATGGTACCAAAATCGTTGGTAAGAAACGAAAATAGCTATCTTGTTGTCATATCTGTTCGTTCTTCCTAACAACAATGAATAGATAAAAAGCGAGATCATTGCCCTCTTATTATGATGATACTAATTAAGCCCATTTGGTGGTTGGTATATAATTAAATCCGTTGGGATGATTGTTCCCAACCTGTTAAAATTTATTTAATTTACCTTAATACCTGTCTAAACTGTAAACACAAGTAATTGGTAAATCATAAATCGTTTTGCCTTTTTTAATAAATGTATAATTTATCTAAAAAATTCAATATAAATGCATATTGTGAATAAATGTTGTAAATCTCTTATTTATGTCTTTGGTATGTTGTACGTGATAACAGATACTTTTATCAGGTCTAGGCGGCCTCTGTTTTTGGAGGATAGATTTTATCCTCTAAAAACAGAGAATAGCGGTCTTGCCACCTACTGGAATTTTCAAAACCAAGGGCAGTTAACTCTTAACCAAACAAATAACCACAACTCTTACATTTATGATTTTGCAATCAAAACAAATAAAAGGTATAATTTCGTATGATGACAGATAATTCTGGATATTAATTCAATATAACTATATTTTTGTAATTGCCATCAATCAGTTATTCCGTATACAGCTGGGAAAACAAATGTTACACTTACTTGCCTGTGACTGAGGTTAATTATAACCATGCTGATTTTCCAGTACCATAATTATGTGATAAGCAGTTTAGAAATTTTGATATTCAAATTTTTTGAAAAAATTAAGTTTAATCATTTATTATTTCTTTCATTTAATAATTCTTAAGCACATCACTTTGTAATATTTTATTTGTTTGTGTAATACTATACACATGGCTGTATGAATATATCTTAATTTCTTTGTAAACATCTTAAATTATTATTTTATTTATTTATGCTATTCAAATTATATATTTATTTTTATAATTATTCATTCAATCCATTTATAGTTTTATTTGCTTTAATCATAAGGCAGAGTATATTTGGCATTTTAAATATGCTTAAAATATGTTTCCTTTTGTGTTTTCTTTTGTCCTCCATTTTTGAATTAACATATTATATGGAAGAAATATCAAAGTCTTTTTTTTATTTGTCTAATTAGGGAAAAATCATATAAAATAACACAAAATAACAAGAAATATTCAGTAATAATGGACCGCAAAAAGTGCCAACTTTGAAAATAAATTGCAAAATATCTAGACATAGAATCTCAAATCGCCACATACAATCGATAGTTTAATGTTTGAACTTTTATTTACATGTACTCTGGTGCTTGCACTTTTTGATTAAAGGTAGGCACGAGGCCTTTAAAATTACCTGTGTTATCCTCTGAAATCGGAGGATAAACTATCCCACAATGCAATGTGGTTTCAAAATATGGTAAAAATTTTGGCCGCCATATTGAATCTAGCTATCCTCCAAAAACGGAGGCCACCCAGACCTGTTTATGTACATCTGATTGTACAATTGTGTAATAACAGATGTTTTCAGGATGAAATACTTTATCATTTTACAGCATTCAGTGGTTCCATATCTGAGCTTTGGATTATGGGTTTTAATTGTGTACTATGTGCCTATCAACCTGATTCCTTGGCCAGTTATCTGGTTGTATGATAAGTTACTATGGATAACTGGTCCAGTGCTGATGATTACAGAAATTGTCCTTGCTCTTAATTTCCAAATGAGGTGTAGCCAGCGTGTTTGTGTCAGGATACAAGAAGACGATTCATCTTTATTTAAGGTGAGTTGATAAAATCCTTGATGTTTTAGGGGCAAAGTCAAAAGATTGATGCCTGATAAAAAAGTAAATCAAAATAGTTTGGAGGGGGGGGGGGTCTCAAGAGCCCAAAAGTTTTTGTCTTCCAACATCTATAATTACACGTCAACAAGAAATTTTTGTACATGAGACTTTATGCACTTGGCACATATCTTTCTATCAACCAACAAAAGCTAAATAAATTATTTACAGTGTAATGAATATTAGTACTTCATAATTAGATTTGAATCAACATTCATCACATTTTGTTTTTGAGGGGTGGGGTGGGGATGGTGCTTGATGAAAAGTTTGTGAATTTAGTTTTTTGTCAGAAATTGAATTTTTTATTCCTAAGGAAGCTCTAAACACTGTACACTAAAGAGCTCTAATTGTAGGGTAGATTTATGCAGCTAGAGTGATCTGTCCCTATACTTATGATAGTTAATGAGACAATTTATAATACTTTAAAGTATTCTTAACATTATATTAGACCAAGATAAAGTTATTGAAGACAGAATTCACATGTTTATTACAATGTAAGTAAACATTTATTTTTATTTACTAAAACTCCATTATCTTTGAACTATTTTCCTGGAGAAATAAGACAGGTACCTTATCTTAAAAACAAACAAGATTAACTCATTATGTACACCTTTATATGATAAAATGTTCTCAAATCCAAAAAAAAAAAAAGGTTTTCATTGGTGTTTAGAGCTTCCTTAAGGACTATTCTATTTACTCTATGCTTTATGTGCTACAGCTTATGGTAATATTCTATTAACAAGTTGTGTAATTAGGCTAAAAATATTTATCTAATGTCATTGACTACTGAGACACCATTGCATCAGGTCAGACACTGCCGCATAAATCAATTTTAGTGACTTATTGAAAAGGGAAATCACTCAATTTTCTATTTTTTCAAGGCAAGTTGAAAAACAAAATTGAGTTATGTCCCTTTTCATATACTTTCGATTAGATACACAATGCATGTCTTTTTGAAAAGTGAAAATGGTACTTTAGGAATTAACTTTAAAAAATGTTTGGAATAACATTGTTTAAAGTTGAATACAAAATAAAATTACTGTATACAGGGAAATTTTTGCCTAGATTTTATTTTTGCTCCTTTTGCCCAAGACACAAGTGAGTGAATTTAAGACGGGGTGAATTCAAGGAAAACAGTGTAATTTGTTAAACAGGACCCTTACTTGGTGAATTTAAAATGGGGCAAAATTGTTTGTTTGTGTGAAAGGGCGAAAATAATACGGGGCGAAAATAACCCTGTATACAGTAATATAAAAGTACAACAGATGTAAGAATCGATTGATATCATTTTATTGACTGACAAGAATACACCTAAATAAAAAAAAGACCTGCCTGCTACATTGAATTTTGAAAATTTTTGTCAGGGAAACTAAAGATTAATTTTTTGAGGCCTTATAAATGTATTAATTTTCAATTTCAGACAATGAGTATGTGTCATAATTATGAATTGCAATACTACTGAATTTTCATTTTGTTTTGAATGTGAAGAATTAATTCTAAAAATAAATTTGTTTATAACTTTATAATCAAATATTATTATTCCTTGTTGCACTTAGTTAATTGAAACAAAGCTATAATATTTTCTTTTAAAATAAATAATTAAAACTTATTGATTTTTTTTAGTTGTTTAATCATATCTTATTCAAGAATCCCAATTGTGTTTAGTGTTTTGAAATAAATTAAGCTATGATTTTTCCTTTATTTTAGCTAATCATCATTTTATTTTCTGCTGGCTGTTATGCACTAATGGCATCCTTTCTGTATGAGATTTATTCTACTGGCTCCACAACTCATTATTTGTAAGTGCATGTTTTAAAATTAAATTTCAGAATCTAGCAAATTGCATGTTTAATTTGATCAAAATTTTATTTTTTTCCCTTCTGACTAGTTAACACATTATAATTATTTTTACTATTAAACTGCAAATTTTAAAGGATGCAAAAATGATTTTAATTGTATTAAAAAAAATTAAAATGTGGGTATTTCTAATTTCAAAGTAAGTTTCAAGAGGAAAAAAAGTAGTTTCAGAAATACTAGTAATTATCATGATTATGCCAATATGGTACTATGGAATCATTTTACTGGGTTATTCTTGGGGGTTAAGGTTCGTGTGAAAGCAATTTCGTTGGTTCAAGAGGACATAATTTTGTAGGTAACCAATAAATACAGAAAATTCAGTTAATAAATATGTTAACAAAATAATTGTTCAGGGGGGATGTAAATTTGTGGGTGTAAGAGTGATCCACAAAATCCATGAAAATTGGTTCCCCAAGAACTATGATGATTCCACAGTTATCTATGATTGATTAAAGAATGGGTAAAAAAAGAAGATTAATATTTAAAAGAAAGATATATTTTCTCACTGTTGTAGACTGATGTTCTTAGTGCTGATTATGTGTGTAGCGGTACACAACATGATGTGGATGTCCCAGGATGGAATCCTATGTGATGCAGCTTTCACTTGTATGTGTACAGTGTGTATTCTTTATGCCATGAAGGAGGAGACAACTCTCATCAACTCACCTCTTAAGACTCCATCAACCTGGTTTCAGTAAGTGCATAACACAGTTATCTGGATTGTACGGAAGCCGGTAGGTGCCAGGTAGAAAAATATTTTATCTGGCGGCTGCCACATAATTAACTGGCGGCTGCCAGAAAGTTATCTGGCAGCCGCCAGAAATTATATGGCTGCTGCCAGATAAGTTATCTGGCGGCAGCCAGATTTTTTTATTTGGTGGCCGCCAGATAACTTTCTGGCAGCCGCCAGTTATTTATGTGGCTGCCATTAGATAATTATTTGGTGGCTGCCAGATAAAATATTTATTTCTACCTGGCACCTACCCACTTCCATAGGATTGCATTAGATCAAAAGATTTTTCTTTATTTATAGTGAATGCATGCATACAAATAGAGCTTCAACAAACTGATATCAGCTACTATAATGAATGATGCAATGCATTTACAGTTACATACAGAAAATTTTGGGTTTACGCAGAAAGAAAATTTTCACATCTAAGAAGATTTTTTAGCAGTAATTTGCTAATTGCTTTTATAGGTATGATCCCAAACAGTCTATGTTTCATCTGGGACTGTTCATCTTCAATAGCACAGTTGGTAAGTTATATGCTATATTATATTTCCATTTTCCTTATATCGGTAAAAAAAAAGGTACCGGTATTAACTTTAAACAGCAGGTTTTTTAAGTTGGTAAATGAAACTTGCTTTTCTTGTAAATTTGTGCTTTATTTTACAAAAGGAAATATGTTATTGCCTTGATGTTTTGACAGATAGTGCAGGCCTGGCCATTGGATTTCTTATGAAGTTTTTGCGTCCATTTTTCCTGTTGACTCTGGGTGTTCGTCTTTATAGCATTCTGTATATTATAGAATCCATGAATAGAATAGATGAACTGCAGGTATAATTATCATTACTGTAAACCTGTATAATCAATACAAAAATATTTTTAAAAAATACATTGGAAAATCTATTTATTTATAAAGTAATACATGTATACACATTTCAAATAAAGTTACAGTTACTCTTTGGTATCTGGAATACTGATATTTCAAATACCAATGATATTTGGAACTGATTTGGAAGTCACAACCACTTATTCTTCAACTATTTTACCCTTGATATCTCAAATCCTTGGATATACCCAGTATCTATAAAAAAATTTTTCTCAGTCCCTTTGAGTTCAAGATAACAATTAAGGTTTTATTGTATTTTAAAAGTTATTAATGAAGTAGAATTCATAAGAATAAGATTGAGAATAAGATATTGAATTATACTGCTTTTTCCTAGCGCGAATACTCATGGGATACTTATGAATACCTGGATGAAGAAATAACACCCTGGAAATCTCCTCTGACCATGAAGTTGGCAGTAGTGTTCATGTTCACACAAATGACCAGCAACTTGTTCTACGAGAGTCAAGGTGTAACAATTCTAAACACATTCCCATTTAACCTGGTGAGGAATTTTTATCCCAAAGACATCATATTTGGTAGAGTTGTGCAAATGATTGCTGCAAACTGTTTCTACATCTGGAGATTATCCAATGAAAGGGCAGAGTGGAGCAACTAGTTCTCATGAAGTGATATGATTGGTGTAAATTGTCTTTACATTCAGAGAATAGCCAATCAAAAGGCAGAGTGAAACTACTGGATCTCATGGAATGGAATGATTGGTTTCTACATCTAAAGACTATCAATGATATGACATAGAGGAATGACTGTTTTATTCAAGATTAGAATAAAAGATGTAAACTTTTGTGTATTGAAAGATTATGCAATGAAAGAATAGTTAGAGTGCAGAGCTGGTTCTGTTAGGAGTAAAATGATTTGGTGTGAGCTTTTAAACAATTACTGAAGGGGAGTGATAGGTTCTAATTAAATGAGTTGGTTTCTTTGATATAGATTTTCCAATATTGCTTTGCCATTAAATCCACATATCATTTTGATTATGACCAAGTGCATAGAATTCCAGTTTGATTTGTTTATATGTGAAGAAAGCAAGAAGAGAATGTGCTATTTTTGATAAGTTCTGTGAGAGAGAGAGAGAGAGAGAGAGGGAGGGGGGGGGGAGAGGAGAGATTTCAGTTTTGATAAAGTGTGCTTTTTGACTGTACTAGTACATTATGTACATGTATTTAAGTATCTGGACTACAAGTCAAAAGTAAATGGGAAATATTGTAGTGCTATTTCTTTTTCTTTTTTCTTTTTGTTTGCTTTTGACAAAATATCATTATAACCATATTAAACTGTTTTATGTACATCCTCTAAAAAACATATGTGTATTAATCTGTAAAAAAAAATTACATTTTTTGATATTACAATATTATATCAAAGCAAATCTGATGGTATAAGAAATGCATAATTTATATTCTCTATTTTTTCCCACTCAATGATCATTTCTATGTATATTTTTGACATAAATCTGAAATGCATTTCATCTTCAGTTTTTTAAATAGTTTTTGTTGATTGACTTGGTTATGTGTCTTTTTTGATGATCCCCCCTTTTATATAAGCAGCTGTCCACTTTATTTATATGTATAATAATCCTAACTCAACCACGTGCTGCTCATATTATTTGTATGTATGTTTATCTTCATTTGTATCCAAAGAAATGCTTTGCTTGCCTCCATTTTTTAGAGCAGTGGATCTTTATTGATGTCCGAAAAAAAAACTCATTTTTTTTATATGAAGAATTATTTCTCATAGCAATATTTGTTGCAGTATCAGCATAATATAGGTCTTATATATAGTCACATTTCTTAAAGGATCTTGACATAAATTACTATACTTCTATATCACCATGCAGCATCATTTAGTTACCAGTACAAGTCACATTAATATATCAAAAGCATGTAGTTCTTAGCGGCACCTATTCAGAATCTGTGTAGATTCCTTCTTTTCTCCTATCAAGGGTGTATAAAAAGATTCACTCATATGTAGCATTTTTATTCTTTTTTTTTTGGGGGGGGGGGGGCTTCCTATGTCCAAATTGGTGCATTTCTAATTTATGATGATGAATGTCCACATGTAGTTTTGAAATGCTGTAAAATGTTGGTTTTGATCACATGGAGGAAAGCTTATTTACAGCATAATACCACCGTAGAACATGTGTGTGTGACTCTCCAGTGAGAGGGTGAACAAATTCCAAACCTTTTGATTTATTTGAAAACCTTAAATGCCAAATATGCATTATGTACAATTTGGAGGCAGCATTTTAACCAATGACATTCAGTATTTCTTTAGAGTAGTTTTTCTGCAGCATTCTCCCTGACTAACAGTTACATTGGTATAAACAGATACATCCACATCATATTTGTTTACTTTTGAGGAAACTTTACATTTATACTGAACATTTTAAATATTTCATTCTCATTTACTTTGTATGAACCAATTGAATCTTGCACACTCTTTCATATAATGAGAGTATATAGTACAAACTTTCAGTGTTAGATTATTTTCAACTAGTCTAAAAGAATCTTACTATTTATTCACCAAAAAGAACTTTGAATGAACTGTTATTTCACCTGATTATGAAGTAGACTTCTGTTACTGTTGTCCCTAAGTGCCCTTAGAATGGATTCATTATCAATGTATATGTAATTACATTAACATTTTTTTTTAATATTAGAGCAATAACTTTAATGTAATAATCTTCTTTTTTTGTTGCTTGAATGTTAGTTTTTGGTGTTTTCTTTGTTGTGCTTTTTAAGTAGTTGTCAGACTTCTTAAAAAAATCTGCATGAAGAATGTTATATATTTTGTTAAAATACTAATTTCAGAGTAGAACACTGTTACAGTAGAATGATTTTCAAAAATACTTTTTCTTAGTTTTGTAATGATTTTTTTTGGATAAATTGCAAACTGCTGCAGCTGAGTTTGTTAGAATTAGAAAATAAATTGAACTGTTACTGTACATTGTTTTATATCCATATGATTCCCAGTCTTGGGAGATTTTTAAACACCATGAAGTATGCAGAATATAGAAGGGAAACAACTCTTACAGTCAAAGTTGATGAATCTATCAGGATTATCATCAAATTTTGATTCAAGAATTGAGGCAGAAAAAAAACAAGTTTCTATTATAGAGTTACAGATCGTGTTTGCATTTCATTCCACTTCGATAATTTTTATAGAATTTTTTCTTTGCACCTATAACTCTAATTTTAAGGAGAACCAGAACATTGCTGGTAAGGAATAAGTATTGTTTATGCAATACTCTCCAAATGCTTGTTCATTATAGAATAATTAATACCCTGATACTATGGCTCAGTATTTTTGAATTTGTAAAGTTCCTCATAGGATAAGAAAGCTGTTTGTTTTAATCAATGAAGAATAGATACAATGTATTGTCCCTTGTAAAGAATGTTTCGTGCAATGAATGGTCAACACGTAACACTTTTACGTATACATTTTCTCCTCCAAGCATTTTATATCCATAAACAATCCTTTTAAAATGCTTTGGCAGTTACAGCATCGAAGTTGTAATTCCAGAATATCCAGTTATAGCATCCAAGTTGTAATTCACTTTGCAGATCCAACAGAATATCCACACAATGACTTTCATCACATTTCAAAACAAGTTCTTATTTTCTCCATTAAGAGGACTGTGGTGGTCGTAGCAGAGACATGGATAACAGAGGTTCACAACTATTGAAATCTCGTGGTCCCTATTGTTTATTATTCAAATCTTGCATAATTTAAATAAAAAAAATCTTTAAAATAATCAAGGATAACTAAGTAAAACCTTTTGATTTATATTAAAAAACTATTCAGAATGTTATATTTCTGTATCAAGCTCATCAAGTTTATTTAATACAATAACAAAGGAGAAATCTGAAATTGCAAGTCAACTTGTGGCCATACTGCTGCAATTTCACTAATTTTTTTTTTTTTTAATCATTGACCTCTTTAATTTGCCTAGTTTGCTTTTAATTATTCATACATTGTTTTAAACTTTACAAACCATACACCCATGTATAATATTTTACTTTAGATAGAAATACACAACCAATAACACAATAAAGTGAATTTTCAGAATAATGCCAGGACAGTCACATACTGTCGTAAACAAATGTTAATGGCGGTGTTACCAATCTCTGTTACGTCTCTGGTTGTAGTCATTTTTAGACTTGTTAAACTTCTTGCAAAAGAGTATAAAAATTAGAAAATTGTATATTATAATATAGGTAGAGTATTTTTTTCTCTTTTCCAAAGAAGAGTAATTGGCTAGAAAATAATCATTACACAATTTTTAGGTGGATCTTTTTGGTAATTTGTTTGACCATTCAGCCTCCTTAATATATGTATTCAGTGTGGAACACAAACCTACTGGTATCTGTTATAGGACATAATGACACAAGTTTGTTTCATTAGAATATTTTATTGTATATTCAGTAGCCTTTTCTTTTAGCCAGGCCACTCCACAATGTTAAATAAAATGCATAGTGATATTGCTACAGTTATGAATGTTCACTTATATATACAAGCATGTAATGAGCCTTTTTGGAAGTAAATATATGTACAACAAAGGTATATTATTAAATATAAATGAATATTTTTGGAATGAAATTGAATAGAAAATGCACTGGACAATAAGACACAATACAAAAAAAAAATAACATTGAAAAAATGCAAGAATGGCAATTCAGATCTACTTCCCTGCATCTTGTTTTAATTATAAAGAAATTTAAATTACTTGTATTTTTTGCACTTGCATGAGATAAAAATATAACAGTACCCCATATATAAAGTAAATGCTTTGAAAATTACTTGTTTTAATTAAAATACATTCTTTTAAAAATTCGGTATTCTTAAGATGTCATGTGAGCATAGGAATATCACAAAATACATTTAAATTAAAACTCCAGTAGTTTGTCTGTTAAGTAAAAATCACAGAAGAGTTAGCACTTTGATGACTGTAATACCTGGGTCTTCCTACCACGTCCCAAGTACAATTGTCTAATCTGGTCAGAGGTCCTGGTGCCGGGCCCACCAGGATTCACACCACTCTGAGCCAGGTTAGCTTTGTATGTAGGAAGAGCACTATTTCTGAGCTCCATTGCACTGGGGTTTTGATTTCCGTTCACAACAACTCCACCTCTCACTGTACCATTCATGTAGAAGCTTTCCATGGCCGTAGGAACACTACCGTTTCCGAAAGTTTTCATTGGTGGATACTGGTTAGTTGTTTCACTGATATGGTTCCCTGATATACGAATGGGTTGTTTTGAGCCAATGAAATTGTTAGGTTTAAATCTGTCTGCTGGATTAATAGGAAAATGTATTGGGGTCACAGGGCTAGCCCTATTAGAGTTTTGTGTGCTGGAAGAGTCTAAATCACTGGGTTCAGAGTCAGAAAAACTCACTCTCTTCTTGGGTTTCTTGTTCTTTTCTCTTAAGCAACTTGGTGAAGAATTCAGAATTGACTTTGGACTAGTTCCTCTTGTGGATCCATGGGAGCTGTTAAAACTGTTATCATGTAAAGGATGACCATTCCCTCCTCCACTGATAGGAGATTCAGGAATCTCAGGAGTACTTGTTTGACTATTATGCATGGGTGAAGGTGATAGTGTTAGTCTGCTGTTTGATGGGGGAATTTTCACAGGATTGTTAGGGCTATGAATCACTGTCACTATTGAAGATGCAGAAGAGCTCACACTCATTTTACTGTCCGGCCTTTGATGATTTTGAGAATTAACGGAATTGAGAAAAGAAGAGGCATCTCTAGTGACACTTCCTCTTGCAAGATTTTGTAATGATGTCTTATCCACTGTCTGGTTATTCTTCATGGAAGAAAAATTTTGTTTTGGCGATGAACTTGTAAAAGCTGAGATATTGCTTGACTGGAGATTTTGTTGGACAGCTAAAGAGTTTATTCTGGACACTATTGAGTTCACATTATTGAAATCTTGAGCTGGAGATGGGTGAGTATTGTTCACATTGGCACTTTGAGGTGAGTTTGAGGAAAGGTTCTCTGTGTAAGGTTGAAATGATTTTGGTTTCTTGGGAATGGGAGGTGGTGGTCTTTTGCCTTCTA